TTTGCAAGTAAATTTTTATTCAGAATTTGTATAAAGAAAAGAAAAAAGAACTAACAAATACAAAAATAAACATTTTAACATAAATTATTCATCCTATTTTCATACTATACAAAAAGAAAGCATATGTTCATACAAAAAATAATAATATAACCATTAGGCTCTCCTTAGCCTTTGACTTCCCTTCACCCTTTTGGTAAGTATCAAATAAGTCCCGGGTTGCGTAATTAGTTTATTAAAGTTTATAGTTATTAGCTGATAAAGTTTTCTAATACCGCCAGTTCCTCCTATATATCCGTTCCAATATATTTCCAAAACTTACTCCAATTTTTTTGAAATTTCTGGTCGTCTTGGTCTCGTATTCTGCCTGTTAATCTATCTAGCTCGGCATAGTTGATCATTTTGACCTGCCAGTCACTTATGTTAGGAATAGTTTCTATTTTCCAGTTTTGTGCCAGCATAATTCTTGCGGCTGTGGTGGCATAGAGAAATATTTTTATCTTCATTTTTATTTCCTTACCCATTATTCCCAGCAAAAAGGCCTCAGGTCTCTTGGGAAAAGTGTATTTAAAAACTTTTTAAGTTCATTATAAATTGCTTCCCAAAAACCTTCACCTTGCTGCATTGCCACCACATATGGTAGAGGTCTCCCTCCCCTTCACCACATTTCCAGCATGTCTTATTTTCTGATCTATAGATTTTAGCCAATTTTGCCGGCGTAAGATACCATCTATAGAGCATTTTCCAAACATTTTCTCTCAAACTCGTACAGGCCGTAAATTTAATGTCTCTATTCCACAATTTCAACCACTTTTCAAACTCGATGTTATAACCGAAGTCAATTGCCCATTTAATCATTGCCTCTTTGACTTCCTCGTCTTTTGTATGCCATTCCAGTAATATGTCATATAATTTAGACAATGTTTTGTTTTTGCCTTCTATTATTTCTATATTGAATTTTGATTTCTTGTCCTCAAAGCCCATTTTTCTTTTATCTTGTTTTAACATATCATTCACCTGATGATATTGTAACCAGCCGGTGAATTGATCCTTTATTTCCTCATACGGTTTAAGTTTAAGCCCTTGTTCTGATTTTCTTAGCAAATCTTCGTAGGTGGCTGTCTTCCCTTCCATGTTGGTTTTTTTATTGTTAAGACCTCTACTGGTGAAATCCACCATGGTGTTTTTCTTTCGAGAAGGTTCTTATTTCTTTCCCAGACCTGATATATTGGTCCCCTGAAAATATGGTTTAAGAAAGCCCTGTGGACTTTCACCTTCTCGTACCAGAGATATGCGTGCCACCCATACCGGTTATTGAAACCTTCTAAATCCAGTAGGTCTCTGTTCTCCAATTTTATCCAATCTTTTAACCAAAGTAGGCACGCTGCTTCATAATATAGGCTCAAATCTGGGAGGGCAAAACCTCCTCTTTCCTTTTTATCAATTAGTATTTTCATTTTAATCCTTGGTCTTTTCCCCTGCCAGATGAATTTCATCAGGGTTCTCTGCCATTCTTTACATTGTTTTAGACCTTTAATAACTGGAAGAGTTTGAAATAAAAACAACATCCTCGGCAAAACATTCATTTTAACCACTGCTATCTTCCCTAAAAGGAAAATTTCATCCTCCCCCATATTTCCAGATCTTTCTTTATTTTTTTCCATGTAACTTCATAATTATCTTTATATAGGTTTATGTTTTTGCCGTAATCCACACTCCCAAATATTTCACTTTTTCACCACCATGATTTCCACTTTTTGTTCTAGATCTTTCGTTTCTTCCTTAGTTAGATTTTTAACCAGCATTTTAGTTTTATTCTTGTTTACCTTAAAACCTGCCACCTCTCAAAATTCCTCAATTTTTGTAATGCTTCTTTTACACTATCTTGTGGATCTTCCAAAGTCAAAACAATATCGTCGGCAAAGGCTTTAATTTTGAATTCCTTCTTTCCTACTCTAATTCCTTTCACTTCTGTTGCCTCCCTCAGTCTCTTATTAAGTACTTCCAAAATTACAATAAATAATAAGGGGGACAGGGGCAACCTTGTCTGGTCCCTTTATAAATGTTAAAATATTCTGTTGTATTGTTATTTATCACCAGCTTTGCTTTCTGTTCTTTGTATATTGCTTCTATGCCTCTTCTAAATTTTTCGCCAATTCCCATCCTTTCCAAAGCCTTCTTTAGGAAGTTCCAGGAAACATTATCAAATGCCTTTTCGGCGTCTATGAAAACCAGTGCGGCTTTTCTGTCTATTTTCATGTCCAGGTATTCAATAATGTCAATCAAATTCCTTACATTATCCCGTGATTGTCTCCCTGGGAGAAATCCTGTTTGATCACCATGAATTTTATTAATCAAGACCTTCTTTAATCTTTCCGCCATTATGTCTGCAAATAGCTTATAATCATTATTTAATAATGAGATTGGCCTATAGTTCTTTACTTCCATAGTGTCCACCTCTTTTTTAGGGATCAATATAACATAGGCTTCCTTCCAGGTATTAGGTATCTTTCCTTCTCTCAATATATTGTTCATAACCTCTCCCAGCACTGGTGATATTTGGTTAATTAATGTTTTATAATATTTGGCCGGAAGGCCGTCCGGTCCAGCGCCTTCTCAGCTTTCATCTTTTTAATAGCCTTTTATCTCTTCCTGTGTTATTATCTCATCTAGTGCTGCTCTTTCATCTTCTACAATTTGTTCCAGATGGTGTTTTTGCAGAAATTGATCTATTTCTTGTTCTGTTTCCTCTCCTCTTTTGTACAAATCCTTATAATATCTTTGGAATATTCTTTTTATTTCTTTTGGTTCTTCCATAATCATATCTCCTTCTTTTATTTTACTGATCGTATTCAACTTCTTCCTTTCTCTCAACTGCCACGCTAGATATTTCCCTATCTTATTTGCGGACTCAAAGTTCTTTTGATTCATCCTTTTAATTTTCCACTCTATCTCTTGGTTAATTATTGTAGCAAATTTAGCTTGTAGTATTTTTAAGTTCTGTTTTAAACTCTCTTCACTAGGGTTAACAGTTAATTTTCTTTCATTTTCCATAATCTGTATTAAAATCTGCTCTTTCTTTTTTTCTTTTTCTTTTCTTAATTGGGTATTTTTCTGAATCAAAAAACCCCTCATGACCGCTTTTCCTGCGTCCCACACCATCTCTATGGAAGTTTCTCCATTTAAATTCCACCTAAAGTATTCTTCAATTGTTTCTATAGCCTTATTTACTATCCTTTGATCATTGAATAAATATTCATTCATTCTCCATCTGGCTGTTTTAACCTCTCTACCTTTTAACTCCATGGAAACCGCACTATGATCAGATAAAGTTCGAGGCCAAATTTCAGACTTAATTAAATTCTGTACCAATTCCCTCGAGACCCAAATACTGTCTATCCTCCCCCAGCTCTGATTCGGATTTGAAAAAAAAGTGAATTGTTTTGCAGTAGGGTTTTTAAACCTCCAAACATCCGTCAATCCCAAATTATTTACCATGTCGAAGAAAGATCGTGGTAGTTTACCTTCTTTCCCATCTTGTCTTTTTGTTAATCTATCCATATTCGGCGTCACCACCCCATTAAAATCTCCCATCAATATCATTTTCTGGTCCATCCATTCCATTAGTATATTATCTAATTCCAAAAGAAAGCTGATTTTTTCTCATTCGGGCGTATATTCCAACCACAACTATTTTTCTCCATGAAACACCATCTGTACCACCACTACTCTCCCATGTTCATCTTTATACAGTAGTTGCGGGTCATATTTTTCCTTTATATAAATTACTACCCCTCTTTTCTTAACCTTGTCGGAGGTCACAAAGTCCAATCCCAATCTCTTATTACTTAATACTCTCTTGTGTTTTCCTATAACATGCGTTTCTTGAAGACAAATTAAATCCC